TAGATTCCTTTTGAGGAATTTATTAATATTATTTTAAGGATCAAAGGTTTTGAATGGCTTAGATTACGTCACATGATTTTATTTTATTTTATACAAAATCCATGAAATTTGAAACAAGAAATAAAAAAAAGAATAAGTGAAACTCATTAAAAAATTGAAAAAAAAATATAAAATAATCCCACGGGACGAATTCGAAGAACTAAACACCCTATAGCGAAAAACAACTTTTCGGACGCACCACACTTGTAAAATACACATGGTAATACCTCCGAATAATCAAATAGCCCACATAATAGATGTGTTTTAATTTGCTTTGTGTTTTAAAATACCTGTGACTCTATGAGCGCGGATTATAATAGCTAATAGAAAAAACAATTTGTTAAAAGGGGTAAGAAAAAAAAATATGGGTAGCCATTAAGTTAGAAGTTAACCCTGTTAGTATTTAAATAGATAGAAGGAAAAAAAAATTAAAATTTCATGTTTTAGAAACTAAATTAATAAAATATATTATTTTAGAATTTGGCTCTTATAAATATGGCGTTTTTTAAAAGAAAACAATATATCATAAAAAATTAATAAATAAATTTTTACAATGTCACAATTTATTTTATATATATATATAATTTTAAATATTACTTTTTTTCATTTAACTGTCAGAACTTTTCATCTTTTCTTCATTTAAAGTGAAATTATAAATTATAATGCTTAATTAAATATGAAAAATAATTCGGCTTCTTTATTTGATTTTTTTTGTTCTATTCAAATGGGGACTAGAATCAACTTCTTCTATTTTTCTTTTTTCTTTTTTCATTTCTCGTTAAACGCGTATTAATATGACCAGCGATCAATAGGCACCCACTCAACGTGAGATTGGGAAAGGAGCAACCAGTTCTCCCTCACCAACCCATAACATATTAAAATTGTTCCAGAAGGTAAATTTTTAAAATTGTTCTAGAAGGTAAACTTTTCGACTTTGTTATTCAACTGATACAATTACAGTTTAATATTATCGATTTCATATAGCCTTAAATTTATGTGTTAGAATATGCAAGCTATTAAAAATTGTGAACTCAACCACAACATTATTACAATTTCAAAATTTTTAATATTTTTTACTAGAGTCGTACACATCAGACATAGTTTAATTAAATATAAAATTTATTTTTAAAATTAGTTTTATTAAATTATTGACTTGGCAAGTAAACTGTTTCTTTAGTAAGTAGAGGTAAACTTTTTTTATATTAGCTAAATAAAGTTATAACCATGATAAATTACTATTATGTATTAATTGATTTGGTTTTTTTATATTATTCGAAGTTTGAAATTCTAACATATATATTGAACTAATCTAATTTTGAATTTGAATCTTTTCATCCTTTTCAAACTCATTACCCTTTTAACAAATCAAATCCTGAGATCTAACTAGGTCTCTAGAAGACTAACAACTCTTAGATAGTGATTTGAGATTTTTGTATGATACTCCTATCTTTATTAGAGGACAAAATGTCTACTAGAGGACAAAATGTCTATATCATATAATTAATGGAAAATAATTATCTCATGAATCTCATGCAACAGAGATAAAGTAGTGGGGTTCACTATTGTTTTTCTTTTTTTGAAAAAGTAGTGGACTCCACAATTTTATCTCTGTTGCATGAGATAATTATCTCATGCACAGTGGCGTAGCCACATTGAAACCAGCAAGTGTCTTGGCATTGCTGGTTTTCAAAATCAGAAGCTTTTTTTGATCTTCAGTTACTGTAAATGGTTTGCTTTCCTCCATAGCTGCTGGTTTTTGCACTAGCTTCCTCGATGGTTGGCTGATTTTCGGCACTAGCTTCCCAAGTTTTCTGGCTCCGCCACTGCTCATGCAACATGTGATTAATAGATCGATTAATACTTGTCTCTATGCACAACAATTTCTCTTATATGTTAGTCCCCATAATTGCCACTTTACTCACATGCAAAAATTATTCAATGCCACCTCACATTCTACAATATATCATAATCATTTTATACAATTTTCGACAGAGTCTTAGTCGAGGGCTCCAGCTAGCTAGCAGAGTCATTGCCGAGGGTAATAGGGCTGTAAAGCAGAAGTCCCAGCTCATTGAGGAATCACTCCTCTTTAAACCATCTTATAGTTTAACAATAACTCACCTCAAAATCGCAGTTTATTGTCTTAAATTATGTCCAGAGACATTAGTAACTTTAAGTAACGACTCCCATACCGTGTCTCCTTTTCTCTGTCTTGAGTGTTGTATTAACTGTTATTACATGTTGTCACTTGTCACACGTAAATTGAACGATGCACCTGCAATCTAGTTGCATCAAATGCTCATGGAAATCGTCCTCAATAATTATGATCCTACATAAAATAAGCTTGTCGATGGTTTGCATCTCTGTCAATTTTATCTGTAATATCAAATTATAACCTACTCTGATGTTAAATGTCAATGTTCTCGATCGTCACTCAAAGTGATGACAAACATTTTGCATAATTTGTGATACGAGTTGCGATTTTAAGATAGATTTTTATGTCTGAGACATTATTAATCAAAATAATATAAAAAATAAATTTATCTCTGTATAGCAAACCAACAACTTCATAAAATTAACATGAAAGAAATTAAAGCATATATTTCAGTCATACTTGATGTCCAAAATTTTAATAAAATATTTTAAAAACTTATTATAAAATTATGGTTAAGACTCATGCATGACTTTCTATAATTTACACTATTTTTCAGAATAAATTTGTAATTGTACTGAATCGGTAATATCGTAATGTAAATGCACCAATTGAGTAAAAATGACTTAAGTTATTAAATTAATCAAATCTATGTTTTGATGTGCTTGTCTTTTTATCGATGTCTTTTGGAATGACAGATATAATGTTTGATTCTTTTGTGGTTGAGCAAATATAATTTCAATTTTTTGTGTCAATATGTTCCGTCCGTTTAACTTAAGCTTTAGAAGTGTGAATTATTTAATGTTTTAATATTTCTACAGTGAAAGTAGATAAGTTATTTCCATTAATTCTCAAAAGAACGTTATCTTAGAAATGAATGATTAAAAATTATAATAATAAAGACTATTATAACACTAAAATAAATTAAAATTACAAAAATACCTTGATTTTCGTCTTAAAACAACGTCGTTTTGAGTTCAAAGTAAATAATTTAACTATATTCACTGGAAAAAAAATAAACTCATTATTTAAACACACTTAGTTTCAATTGTTGGTGATGATCATGATATACAAATTAAAATATAAGAAACTTATTAGAGCTCCCTATATCATAATTTTAATTGCTGGCGATGATATACAAAAAACTGATGCATGCATATTAATTATGAGGAGTAATATTGTTAAATGTTATTATGTTTCAGAATACAGCTCCTATATCCACCAAAGCTTTAAACTAGTGACGTTAGACTCCGTACTAAGCGCCTTTTCGGAAATTAAACTCATGACCTTGGCTAGTTGACTCTAAGCCTCTAATAGCGCTTACCAATAGGCAAAAACAACAATTGTTTTTTGTTACAACAAATTATTTTGACTAGTGATAAGTTCTCCATCCAATAATTTTAGTCTATTCAAGCTTCAAAAACAATTTATTTTATAAAGTTATAATAGTTTTGTCAACCAACTTGTAATTTCACTAATAACAAACTTGGATGTGGTGTTATAACTTCAATTTTGTTTTTTCATTATTGAATATTACTTCATTTTTTTCTGAGGGTGGGCGTCATATCAGTCGAACTTAAATCATTTAAGCGACTTATTAGCAAATTAATAACTCTATTCTCATTTTAGAAATCAGTAGTTCGTATAAATTTAGAAAAATAAAATGAAAATTAACGGCTGATCGTCACATTGGCTTTAGATAAGCTTCTTCCCTATAGATTTATAACCATGAGATCAGAGAGACTTTGTCTGAAAAAAAATATATCTACAATATCTCTCCTCAAACAAAAAAAAATTAGAGAGTAATTAAAAAATAATAAAACAAGGGTTTAACGTCTCTTATGTTATAGGAGATAAAATTATCTTATATATACACATAAAAATATGTAGAACTTGTGTTTTTTTTCTCTCTCTTCTTTTCACATGAATTCTCATGGGCCTCACATATTCTTATTTCCTATAACATGAGAAATATCAAACCCATAAAACTGTTGGAAACCGACACACACAAATCGAAAAATAAAAAGAGAAAGGGAAGAGAGAAATCGACACAATGATTTACCCTGATTCATCCAATATAGATTATGTCTAGCTTGTCAATATTATATTTATCTCATTGCCACCCGTTACAAGTCACTCGATTTGTAAAGGAATATAAATAGGATTTAAAAAACCCTAACAGCAGCTATTCATAGGCCCAAGCCCAAATTACTATGAAAAATAAAATTACAATAAGTCAGATACTCACAACAGTACTAGGCCTCTACGGGCCCGGGGGCGCTGGCCCCTGCACCTCGACTGATCGGCTCCCCTAGTTGTCTTCTGCTGACCCCCATCCCCCGTAAGTGTCCTCATGAGTATGGGAAATATGAGTCATATCCCACAAAAACAAATATCTATTTTCCCTTATGCAAAAATTCACTTTATATAAGAATGAAGATGGCAAGCATTCAAAATCCTAATCCCCTACACGCACAAGTTTTATTACCTTATGATATACATATTGTCTACAATTAATCAACTCTCCTGTAAACTCAGGTGTTAGGTCAAGTTTACATGGTTCTATATTCCATTGCAAAGGATACTCACATGTACTCACTTGGTTCCAAATTTCCTCCCTTCCCTTCTTTGCTTATAAATTTTCATGTCACAGCAGTAAGAGATATAATAAAATTATATACATGTCTTCCTCTAACATAACAGTTTAAGCATTTCAGAGAATTAATTGCTTAACATCGTTCATTCATACTCTCCACTCTCTTCAGTCCAATTTTCTTGTAGTAACAAGAACATCCTCCAACCACTAACCATGGTAACCCAATTCCTCATCTTCTTTCTCTTCTCCTGCTATGTTGTCACCTCTGTCTCCATAGAAGACACTGGTTTCGTGCGTTCACTAGACCACAAGTTTCTAGGCATGGAGAAGAAAGAAACGATCACCCACTTCAGGTTCTACTGGCAAGACATAGTAAGTGGAAGCAACGCAACCTCAGTTACAATTACTGTTGGGTTTGCTCTTTTACTAAAGCCCAAATGGGTTATTAGTATGAGAAGAGCCCAAGGAACCTAGAGCCCAATGAGCTAGGGTTTCTTGGAACCCATATAAATCGTACCTCTTAAGTCATCAGCCTCTAAGGTCATTTTTGTGAGAAAGAGGCAAGCTCAGAATCTAATCAGTGCCCACACACTTCCTCTTCCTCCTCAAGAGATAGTTTGGAAGATCTGCCACAGTCCAGCTTCAAGGAGGTTGTTCGTGCTGCGGCGCTGAGGTGAGCTGTTCGTGAAGAGGAATCCTACAAGGGAAGATTCTACACGAGACCTGCGCACCGAGAGGTAATTGTGAAACAAGGATGATTCGGTAAGCATACCAATGTACTAGGTCCTAAACCACTTCCGCATAAATCTAAGATTTCCTACAATTGGTATCAGAGCCTTGGCTGTACATTGGTATGTGAATCTAGTTTCACTATTCATGTAATTAGTTTTGCTTCTTGAAATGTGGCACCTAGGGTTCTAGGATTATGGTATGAATCTAGCATGTGTATTTTATAATTCATTTTCATAAAAGTTTAAATTTTAATCGGTAAAAATGCTTTAATCCATGGTTAGGGTCTCTCGTGTATTTCTCGATTTGTAACAAGGAGGCTAATCCCATATGATTAGGTTTCCTCCTTGCTGTTTTTGTTTATTTTTGGAATTTCTGTGTATTTTTTCAATATTTTGTAAAAGTTCAAGATCGAGAAATCGCGAGGAAGATGCGCAGTTAGCACTGTCGGAGACTTTTCGAGGACTTACCGATCTCGGAATGGGGCGATCTATGTATAGTTGGAAAGAGGACGGAAAGACGAACGCAACGGTGGGTGGATCACCGCCATCAGAGCCTTCACGCTCCACCACGCGCCTCAACAAGAGGCTGAGAGTGGCCGCCACTCTCCGACAAAGAATGGGAGAGTGAGGGAGCGTCCGGCCACCTTTTTGGGTGGTTCTGGCAGCGGTGCACTCGTCTCTACGTGGCGGTCCTTCCCCTGGAGTTTCAGCCTGATTTGACTTCGGGTGACGGCGCGGCAGACCTGACGGCTAGGGTTCCTCTTTCGCGTCCTAGGGTTTCTCGCCAAAGGATTGGGTCTTTGGGCTTTTGGGCCCATGAAACCCTAAAGGGACTTGAGACAGATACTATGGGCTAGGCGAAAGTCGAATTCCAAAGTTGTATTATTTAATTTAATTTAATTTAATTTTCTTTAAAATAGGAAGACCATGGATTAAAGTAATTATGATTTATTATTTAATGTTTTTATTGATTGGTATAAATTATATGATTGATAACATGCTTTATTGCGATAACATGCCATATAGAATAGGTGGTGCCATATTGTTGCATAACTTGTATGATTGCATGAGCATAATAGTTATTATGTCTTCAGCGACTAGTATGATAGTTATTATGGGATTATTTTGATTTTAAATCATCCTAAGAAATTAATTAATAATTATTATGATTTTTATTAAAAATCTAGATTAATAATTGAATTAATTAATTTTGGATAATTAACATCAAGACAAATAATCGTTATGGAAATTATTTTGATTTCAAATTATCCTCATAAATGATAATTATTATGATTGTTGCAATCTAGATTAATAATTAAGTTAGCTATTTGGATGATTTAAATCTAGAAAAATAATTAGAGAAAATTTCCTAAGAGAATTCTTTTATTTTGAGAGTAATTTGTGGGTTTTCTGAAATGGTCATGGAATAACACACACTGCATACAACATTCATGTATCATGATTGTTTGGAGCACACGCTGACGTAAAGTGACCGGATTTCAGGACCTTAATGCTTTCAAAATTATGTTAAGCTTAGTGCACGTTTATCGGCGCTCTTACTTATATAGTTTTTGAAATCAAACAAAGGATACTCTCAATTAAATAATTCTTGGAAATTAGAAAATGTTGCTTATATTGAATGGAAGGAGATTTAAATTAAGAGATTAATTTAACCTTCAAGCGCATTATAGGATCATTAATAAAATAATCATGTGAAGTCTCATCGAATAAGCATGATTGGATTTTATTAGATTGGACTTAAATATCTATAGGAGGAGATTTAAATTAAGAAATTAATTTAACCTTCAGGCGCATTGTGGGCCTATCAATAAAATAATCATGTGAGGCCCCAACGGATAAGCATGATTGGATTTTATTGGGCCTTAATAATTTCAAAATTTTAATAAAGTATTGTATGGCCCATCGTCGATAATACTAAGTTATTAAAGATAATTTTGAAATTAAACAATGAATTCGACAGGGCTTATGAAAATTCTCAAACAAAAATGTTGAATGGGTGAAGGTTTTAAAAATTAATTAATTTTAAAACCTGCGGGCTCCATTTGTGGGTTTATTAGTGAAATGGTTATCGCTGAAGCCCCATCGGATAAGGATAATCAGATTTCACTAGATTAAATCTTAATAATCTCAAAATTTTAGTAAAGTATTGTACGGCCCATCGTCGGCAATGCTTAGACACTAACGATAATTTTGAAATTAAACAATGGTTAATTACATTCAACTTTGGTAAAATTGTTAACCCTCCCATCGAGGCTCTGGCAATGGCACTGAAGGCCCAAATAACAATTTTGGTTTTTACAAGTGACTTGCCCATCGTAAGCCTTGTAAAGATAAACTGAAGGATTGTTAACAATAAACAAGAGTAGTTATGAGAATCTACTCGCACTTCGTTTGTTTATTGCATTATTTGTTTGTAATTGTGTGCTTTATATGTTTTTCAGAAAATATCTTAGAAATGATTTTGAGTCAAAAACCTCTAGATGGTACCAACTATGAATAAATGAAAAGCAAATTTTTGATATTGTTCTAAAACATGGAAGCTAAAATTTGTCCTGACAATGCGAGGGCCATAGCAACCTGCAGAGGATGCGTCTAAGGAAACTAAGATGCATTTCTCAGATTGGGAAAAGGCAGATATGGTAGTTCGCTGCTATATTATTGTCAGTCTTTCCAAATACTTGCAGAAGCAAGTGTACATGATTAAGAGTGGAGTAGAAATGCTTCAGACTCTTAATGACATGTTTGCTGCGTCTAGCAGCTTTGCTAGACGGAATGCAGTCGGTGCAGGTTTTGCTAAGAGTCTTGTTAAATCCAAAGGGAAACCCAAGGGTGGTAACAAGAACAAAATGACTTGGTTATCAGTTGTCAAACCAGTTGCTATGAAGAAGCCGCAAGGCAAGTTCTTCAAGTGCAGACTGAAGGGATACTGAAAGAAAAATTGCCTAAAGGTGATGAAAAGAACCAGACATGGGTATATTAAGGCCTGATCAGTGAATGAATCATTGATTCAGGAATCACTGATTATGTTTGTTACTCTTAGCAGTAGTTCAAACATGGTATGCCTGTCAGCAGTGGACAAAGATATTTTAAGCTTGAAAATGGGACCTTGTGTCTGCATTCGCAGTAGGACAAGTTATTTATAAGACTATGGTTTTGGGTGACTGTTTATTTGTTCCAGATTTCAAGAGGAATTCAATTTTTGTTAGTTGTTTTGGTTAAAACATGGGTTGACAATGCAATTGATTCCTCAGTTACATTTCAAAGTTCATCTTCGTCTTGTTTTGTTCTGGTACATTGTTTAAATAGTTTTTATTACCTATGTCCTATACCTTTTTTTTTTTAAATTTGTTATGTTGAATGGAAAGGATGATGAACAAGGATTTTCACCAAAGAAATAAAAATTTCAAATGAAACATAACTTTGGCCTTTGTGATTGAGTCACATTATCTCAAGTAGAAAATATGTTTTAGTTAAAAGAGGGACTGAAAGTTCAATAATCTTTTAACTAACAGCTACATGTTAGTCCTATTTGGAAGGTAAAGTGGCCAAGCAATCCTACAAGGGCCAAGAAGGTTTGCGCAACTATTCAACTGGAACTGGTACATACTAAAGTATGTGGACCACTTAGCGTTCAGACCAGAAGAGGTGATGAGTACTTCATTATATGAATGTTTACTCTGGATTTGAACAGATGAACCAAGTGCGCTATAAGTCTAAAGAATCTGGAAATTTCCAAGAGGTTTAGTCTGAGGCAGAAAAGCATGTAAGTGTTCAGATCAAAACACTTTGGTCTACTAAAGTGTTTGGCTACCTGTCTGGTAATTTCAGGTCTTACCTGATTTAAGAGGGGATAGTTTTCGTAACTATCTCTAAGAACGCGTTAGTTGAATGAAATTGCAGTATGCAAAAATCAAACATTTCTAGACTTGGTGAAGATCATGTTCAGTTATTCATCTTTGCCAATGTTATTCAAGGGAGATGTCTAAGAGAAGGAAATCTACCTTCTTAACTTGGTTCCGTCAAAGTTTGTTGTAAAGACACCTAAAGAATTATGGAAGGGGTGCAAGCCCAGATCAAACCATATTCAGATTTAGGGTGCTACGACACATGTCCTACAACAACAGTCAAATGAGATGGAATCTTGTATGGAAGAGTGCATATCTTTTGGCTACCCTAAGAGAACTAGGGATGATTTCTTATTTAGTCTTAAGGACAAGATAATCTAAGTGAGCACTCACATGATTTTCTTAAAGGAGGACTAGATAAGAAATTATAAGCTCTTAAGTTAGGTTATTCTTGATGAGATTTATCTCAGATCAAGAATTTTCAGAATCTCTAGAAGCTTCATCCACTGTTCCCTTGATTGTTCAAGAGGGGATAAATATATCTCTAAGTGAACAAACAAGAGAACCATGATTGTAAATTCAACATGATAATATATAAGTGAAACTAGTAGAAATATTAGTATCACATGTAAAGGAATAATATCAAGGATAAGCGGATCCTCAAGAAATTGAAGATCCATCATTTGACCCACTCTTTGTTTTACCTATAAATACACAAGGTCTAGTGCATACATTCGTAGTGGGAGAGAACCTTGTTAACTCTCAAGTTATTTCTTGTTGAGTGACATTGATCCTACTAGTTACGATAATGCACTAGAAGATGTTGTTAATCAAGTGTTGCTCAAGCTATGAACAATGAGATGAAATACTTGTATTTCAACTCCGTTCGGTCCTAGTAAAGACACCAAGAGGGGTAAAACCCACAAGGTGCATGTGGACATAAAAGGCAAAGAGAGGATGGACAGAAGGTGAAAACCTTCAAAGCTAGCTTGGAGGCAATTTTTGCCAGACGCCATGCTTGGGTCTATCCAGATTCTCTTAGTTGCTATAAGTCTCAATTATGAGATTTCATTTTGGGAGTTGGATGTTAGGATATCTACATACAACAACCAAAAGAGTTTATAGCAAATGGGTAGGAACACACGGTATGCAAGTTGTGAAAGTCTATTTCATAGACTTAAGCAAGCATCCAGGTCTTGAAACATCAGTTTTGATCAGGTTATCAAAATTTTGATTTTGAGAGAACCTTGATGAATGATGTGTATTTGTATGTAAAGAATCCAACGGAAGACAGTAGTTTTTCTGGTACTTTATGTAGATGATATGCTCCTTATTGGAAACAATGTGGAGGTAATATCAAGCATAAAGAGTTGGCTAAGTTAGTGTTTTGGTATGGAAGTACTGGGGAAGCCAATTATATTCTTGGTATAAAACTCTTATGAGGCCGGAAGATTAAGTTGTTGGCATCACCTCAGGCTACTTACATTGACAAAACCCAAAATTCAACATGAGAATTCTAAGAGAAGAATTATAATTCTCAGATGTGGAATTCATCTTCCTAAGGAGTGACCAAAGACTTCTAAGAAGGAAGAATGCATGAGCAAGATATCTTATGCTTTGGCAAAGGTAGACTCACGCATATCATGTTGGGCGTTAAACCAGACATCTGTCACGTAGTGCGAGTAGTGAGATAGTACCATTTTGAACCTAGAGGAATACTAGATTATTGTTAAGCATGTACTCAAGTATCTTTGGAGAACGAGAGATTATATGCTGGTATATTCTAGTGGGAGTCTTGAAAAGCTGAGTTTTCAAAAATTCAGTTATTTCAAGTGGATATTGACTCAAGAAAATCAACCTCGAGCTATGAGTTTTTCACTAAACTCAGATAGCATTAGAGGTGGATCTTGCAGACCCAGTTACTAAGAGTTTGCCTGAACTTGTGTTCGAGAGGCATGTTACTTCTTTGGGTCTTAGGAGGATCCCAGACTTGCATTAAGCAAGTGGGAGTTATTGGTTTCATTGTGCTCTTGGAGTAAGACGATGAAACAATAAAATAATTTTCTGAATTTCATAAATAAGGTTTTATTTATTTATTTTGCGCACTATTTACAAACATAAAGGTCCGGATCAAATTGTGGAGTATATGATCATATGGATACGTTCATGGAGGACATGATCATAGGATCTCACAATTGATGAATGGAGTCACAGCCGTTAAATAAAGTTGGGCACTTTATTCAGGCTGCAATATTTTATGAAATGATTTTGCCCGAATCATTGTAAAATATTGGTGTGAATTAACATTCACATTGAAAGGATCAAGGAGAGATTTGATTAAAGTTATTTTTCTGTCATAAGGTATCAAATCTCCAGTTAACTATAGTTATGTGATTGCTCTTAATCTTGAGTTTATTATAAATAGGTAATCAAATAGTTTTCATTCTTTGATTTACCAACGGGTGAGGTTCGATCTATTGATGACCAATAACTCGGTATTTTGGGAGTGAGATTATTTGATTATCGGTATTTATGAGATAAACAACATGGAATTTGTAGGATATGTCCCCTAGATATGTTTCGGTACTTGGATATTAAAGACACTGGCCAGTGCATGTAATCCATTAGAGAAACTATCATAGTCAAGGGAATAAATAATTGATTGAGTTACAGAAAACTTGTCAATCCATTATAGACATTTTACAAAGGGGCGATGCATATTCATGTTATAAGTGTTGTTAATCTTGGAGTTCAAGTTCGAGCTTTTAGTGGAGTAGCACCGAATTAGATAATCATTTGTTGATTATCAGGAGCCTTGATTAATAACAGATGGTAGATCCCCAAGCTAGCTTGAGACAAGGGATGGTGTATTTTTCGGATAAATGATGACTTATGGGTTACATGATCTTGGGTTTTACGACTCAAGTTTGTATCCAAAAGAGCAAGTGGGAGATTGTTGGGTTTGCTCTTTTACTAAAGCCCAAATGGGTTATTAGTATGAGAAGAGCCCAAGGAACCTAGAGCCCAATGAGCTAGGGTTTCTTGTAACCCATATAAATCGTACCTCTTAAGTTATCAGCCTCTAAGGTCATTTTTGTGAGAAAGAGGCAAACTCAGAATCTAATCAGTGCCCACACACTTCCCCTTCCTCCTCAAGAGATAGTTTGGAAGATCTGCCACAGTCCAGCTTCAAGGAGGTTGTTCGTGTTGCGGCGCTGAGGTGAGCTGTTCGTGAAGAGGAATCCTACAAGGAAAGATTCTACACGAGACCTGCGCACCGAGAGGTAATTGTGAAACAAGGATGATTCGGTAAGCATACCAATGTACTATGTCCTAAACCGCTTCCGCATAAATCTAAGATTTCCTACAATTACTCCATCACTTCCTAAATATAACTCAACCACTATCTTCGGTTTGGTTGGAATCATCGACAACGCTTTGACCTTAGGACCAGAACTGAGTTCAAAGCTTGTGGGAAGAGCTGAAGGATTCTATGCATCTATATCACAGACAGAGTTCGATCTTCTTATGGTTATGAACTTCGTATTATTCGAAGGGAAGTACAATGGAAGCAGCATCACCATCTTGGGGAGGAACGTTGCTTACAATTGAGTATAATGTTTATGTTTCCCTTTAATGATGCTTTATATTATAGGATATAAGTTTTCGCTTCACAATGGCAATCTACGTTGCTTAATTTCCTCTTTCTAGATTATATAGTAGCACTCCATAATGGATTTTCATGTAATATGTGATTGTAAAATGCTCTAAGATAAAATATTTACATCCTCTTACATTACTTTATGTCACATGCTTTAAGATAAAATGCAGTGGGTTTGACCTCATGAACCCACCCCTGTTTATTTGTGGTTGGTATGATAATTTGAATAATAATTCATCCTACTTACTCCACTGCCTCCAATTGAAAATTGGAAAATGTTTCGTCTATACCATAAATGTTATAGTTTGAATAACAATTTATGCTTGTCTCTCCACTTCATGCAATTGAAAATGGGAAGATGTTCCATTCAAGCTTACAATATTTCATCCCTTCCTACACCTTTCATTTAAGCTTTAAATTAATGTTAGACTTGGATCAAGGACCGTGACAAATTGATTTTTCTACCTCCACTAAATAGTAAATCCTAAGTTTTTTATTTATTAGTGACAAAAGAGCAGAACAGAGGTTTGCAAGCTGAGCAAAGTCATCTAAAGCCATATGACTTAGAGAACTTATAATAATGGATCTAATGATGCAAGAATGTTAAAAGAGCTTGTCTTCTCATATGGAATATCAACTATCAAGTTGAAATCATATAAACTCGAGAAATCAACCCAAGAAGGATAGGAGCTTAACAAAATTGGAGTTGAGTAGAGTCACAGGGAAACTAGCTACTCAAGGTTTATGGGACAAATTCAAAGAAAATGAAGAAAACAAAAACAAAATAACAGATATAGTAACGGCCAATAAGCATCCAGTGTGCAACAGAAGATTCAAAACAGTAAACTTGAAAAATTAAGACATAAGGTTTGAAGAGCTAATCAGCTAAACTTGTACACTACTCAAGTCTTCATCTTGCTACCTTTAAGTTATATCTTAGCAAAAAAAAAAAATGTTTCTCTTACTCTGTAACTTGCGTATAAACAATACATGAGTGATTTTGAAAAATACCCAATGCAAAACACTTAACCATTATCTTAGATCTTGAGAGATCAGGTTAATGAGCTACCAGGTTGTGCTAGTCACTTGTGAGTTTTTTGTTTAGCTAGGAGCGCTTGGATTCAAGGACTACTTGTTCTACAATGAGAGGCTAACGTTGAATAAACAAATATGGTCTTAACTTGAAATGTCTAGCGTGGAAAATTTTTTGCTCGATTCTAGCTTAGAGAAACCGGGTGGCTCAACACTACTTGTACAAAGAATACTCAGAATATTCTAAATGTATCAGCGGCACATGTTAGAGGGGAAGTAGTATAAATTGTGGTGTTGAACTCTTTTTATCCTTCACTTTTTATATGGGTTTAGCTTTTATAGGAGATAATTTTATCTCCTATACATACTTAAAAATGTATAAGACTCATTTTATAGTTACTACCTTTTTTCTTACTATTTGTTATTACCAAATCTTAACCGTTGAATTCCATCAATCTAACGGTTATAAATTATTGGGTCATATTTATTAATTAATTATTAATTCTAATAAATTATAACCATTAGATTGAGGGAAATCAACGGTTAAGATTTGGTAGTAACAAGTAGTAAGAAAAAAAAGTAATAACTATAACTTTTCCCCTCATTTTTTATGTAAAAAATCAATTTAACTCAAAAATTTAAGTTATTAGATAAAGATATTTTTAATAATTTATATTATTCTCTAATATTTTATTTTTCTATCTTTTCTTTTTATATGGTCCTATATGGGTACCACACACTTTTATATGTGTGTGCGAGATAAAATTATCTCCTATTAATCCCTTTTTATATATACCTTATTTTGATATTATTTCATTTCTATTCAGCCCTATTTTGAAAGAGATTATCAAAGTTTTTAAGAAGAACAACTTGTGAAACTATATATTTGTATAAGTAAACTATGTATCAAAATGTTTTATTTTTTAGGAAAAATATGTGTCATTCTAAAGTTATAAAGAATGTAAAGTTATATCATTTTAAGTGAGAAAAAAATAAATTATGGAAAAGAAAGAGTGGACGAAAAAAATAAAAAATAAAAATTTGATCTCATTTCTTTATAAAAATAAAATGACACAACTTCTGTGAACAAACTTTTTTCCCTTTATTTTTTGAACAAAAGGAAAAAGAAGTATCCTTTAAAAGGATACAAACTTGTGTTCTTTTAGACGATTTACATAAAATCTAATTAGTCAGAGACTTTGTATAAATATGAAAGAAAAAAAAAATTCTCTTCCCAATCGCATCGCTGACGTATAAAGTACAAAAAAATCTTTTTTAAATTTACATATAACCAAACTTTGTGTAAGTCAATAAAAAAATATAATTTACATACTTTGGGAGTAGATCTTCTCTTGTTAAAAAGTGGTCACGTGGTCATGTTATTTGATCACAACCACTAATTCAAAAATTATATATTTTTCTCTCTCTCTTATCTCATCATCAATGAATGATTGTGATCAAATAACATGATCACATGACCATTTTTTTCACACGAGAAGATCTACTCGCTCTCCAATAGGTTTGTGCCGAGAAATCCTCTTAAAAATATCTGGAAGCTTTATTGGGAAGTGTATTCATTTTAGCGCGGTATGAAATCATGAAACGCATGAGGGCCATATATTACAATGACTTATTGAATTTATTTATTCGTGTCGATTTCTAATAGAAAGAGAAAAAATGGTCACCACTTAAAGTTCCATGAAATGATGCTTCCAACAACCAAACCCACTCACTTTTTCCCCCAATTTCCTCTTTTTCATGTTTCTCCTTATAAAGCCCTTTACATTGGGTTCTACTTTTCATTCTCTTCTCACCCTTTCTCTTCATTCTAGTTTTGTTAAGAGTAACTACAGAACCTTAAAACACCAAAACCAACCATGTCAACCCACCATTCCCTCATCACCCTCTTCTTCTTCTTCCTTTTCCTCTCTTGCCATGCCTTCACTTCTGTCACTGCAGAAGATGACACTGATTTTGTTCGTCCAATAGACCGCAAGTTGTTAGGCCTAAAGAGGAAAGAAAAGGTGAGCCATTTCAGGTTCTATTGGCATGACATATTGAGTGGACGCAACCCCACTTCAGTTTCTGTTGTTGCACCACCTTTGAAGATGAACACAACCACTGCTTTTGGTTTGGTCAACATGATTGATAACCCTTTGACCATGGGACCTGATATGAGTTCCAAACTTGTGGGGAAGGCTCAGGGGTTCTATGCTTCTGCATCTCAGAGTGAGGTTGATCTGTTAATGGCTATGAACTTTGCTTTCATTGATGGGAAGTACAATGGGAGTACCATCACTATCATGGGGAGGAACCCCGTTTTCAATAAGGTTAGGGAGATGCCTGTGGTTGGTGGTAGTGGACTTTTCAGGTTTGCTAGGGGCTATGGAGAAGCTAGAACTCATTGGTTTGATCTTAAGTCTGGGGATGCTATTGTTGAGTACAATGTTTATGTTATGCATTATTGATTATTTGTGTTATGGGGTATACTTTTTGCTTTTACTATGGGAATTGGCACTCTTTCTGTTTATGTTTATTTTTATTTTTATTTTTTGTTTTTGAGGTCTTGTGAGAGGTGGGGTTTGTGTTCATGAACCCACCTTTTGTCCTCTGACTCCCCCTTTTTAATTATGGTGTATTTGTGGTTGGTGTTATAATTAGAATAATAATTTATGTTCCTCTCTCCACTGCTGGCAATTGAAAAATAATCCCACAGCAAAAATATTTGGGCAATTATTCAATTCATATGTTCAATTGTGGTGTCTTGAATTGATTTGAGTGGGAGCACAGGTTTCTGGAATAGAGATTAACAGTCCAAAAAGGAAAAAAAATTATTTTTGGTCAAGTAATTATACAATTTCCTTCATGATTTGTTCTGATTAGATTTATTTTTGAAAGCTAAGAAGGGTACATTATGGTTCTAATGAAAAGAAAGTTCATTTAACTGCCCTTCTGATCAGATTTATCTTTAGAAAACCAAGAACATTAATACTGTGGTGGTTTGTTGTATCAAAAATAAGTTTTAGTTTATTAAATTTTTTACCCTATCTTTACCATTTACACTATACCTTAGCCTTAAGTGACAGCTTGTGATTGTTGTTCTGGTGTCTAAAATCATTATTAGACTCAGAATTAAAAATTGTTATTGTTTACTTTTCACATCAATTGAGTTTAAATTCACTTACTACAGAGAGATGAAATGAAAGAGACTGAGAAAGGGAAGTCTTACCAGAAGTTTACCATATTGTATTAATAGCTAATGTGCTATACTTCTTTAACTATGTGGGATATCTGTAAGTGTAACCCATCTCTTCACAACTTTTCTTTCCCCAATTGACACAATATCTTGAGAATCATGGTATCACCTGATTAATCACTTAATTGTTATGAAAGTTGCATTGTCACTCTTGCAAGAGATGGTATGTTTCTTTCTTTTTGGTTACAGAGGTGTCATGTTTCTAGGATTGGCTTTACATTTTCAACTGTTTCAAAGCTATATTGAATTTCATTTTCTCTTTTGAGCAAGCCATAAGGCTCTAAAACCACTCTATGCCCAAGACCCAAGTCTCACAGTTTAAGCTTTCTCTGCAGCAAGACCAATCAAAGACAAGCCTTTACACTCTGCATAATTGCTTCTTCCTTAGAAGCAAACACCGCAAATATGTAATTATGACTTTGCGTGGAGAATTTCGGAGCATTTCTTCTAGGGAGACAATATATATATATATATATATATATATATATATATATATATATATATATATAGGGGTGTAAATGGGCTCGGCTCGGCTAGGCTTTGGCCTTCCTGACTCAAGCTTACGTAAAAAAAAAATTCAACTTATCTGGTCTACTGGCCTATTAAAGGCTTTATTTGTAGGCCAAACTCGGCCTATTTTAAAGAATAAGAAAGCCCGACATGGCTTACAGGCCTTGTAGGCCTACCACTGTAGATACTAAGTAAAAAAAATAATTGTATAGAGCAAAGAAAGTTTCATTCATACATGCACTAGTACTTCTTATAAGAAAAAAATAACAAACAAGAAAGAGTTAACATAATACCCCAGCTCTAGAATGTATATCATAGAGGAATAGAGTCAAAGAAATGGGGAAAATAAGAAAAATACAATTATTGGGTGCTGAAATAAAGTCTACAAGAAAATGTCATTCATCTAAAAATTAGAGTTGGTATTGGTACTTTGCCATGCCACATAAAATAAATATTATTTTATTATTTTATTTTTAATAAATTAAATAGGCCAGCCTACAAGGCTTTGGGCTAAGCTTGACAAAATTGGCCTACGGCTTATTTGTTAAAAAGGCTTTCTTAAAAAGCTAAGCCTACTCTACTTTTCTGAAAGACCGGCCTAAGCCAGGCTTAATGTAAGCCAGGCTGTAGGCGGGCCAGCCTGGCCCATTTACACCCCTATATATATATATATATATATATGGGGAGGGATCTTTTGACTTTAGAGTAAGATTTGCAACTCTTACTCCTCATCTGAACCGTTGATTTCCGTCCATCTAACGGTTATCTAATAACCGTTAGATGGACGGAAATCAACGGTTGAGACGGAAAGTAAGAGTTGTAAGTCTTACTCTAGAGTCAAAAGATCTCTCCCCTATATATATATATATATATATCAGAAAAGTTTAGAACAAAAATCATTTTACATCAGTTATGCATTAGAAATTTGAGATGACTAAAAGGAGGGTGCATATAACTCATTCACACTTTATTTCATAATTTTGGTCCCTTTATAGCATGAAAGTGGGTGTTAAATATGTACATCCTTAACTATAAAAAAAAAGATAAATGTACATCCTTATCAGTGAGCAGTGAATAAATATAATATTTTTTTTCTATTTCTTTATTTTCATACTCTTTCTATTTTCTTAACTTCTTAAAAGAGCATAAGCGCGCTCTATACTAGTCATACATGAACTCAAATCTAGTAGGTTTAACAAGCTTATGTTGCGTAACTGGGGAGTCCATGCTAGGAATACTATCATCAAAAGAACTAAGCGGTATATTCTATATAATAAGTGGGTTCAGACATCACATGTTAACTCAAAACTTTAAGATATTAGATTTATTAATCCTTTCACTTATATGGTCTTTACTTAGTCCACTTCTGACTAATTACTCCCCATTACATCAAGGCTTAATTACAGTCATCAAGATGCAGGCCAATCAACCATTGACTCTAATACCAGGGGAGTCCAAATTAGGGGAGACTAATATCCACGCATCAAATGAGTCTAAGTAACAAATTCACAACAAGGAGTCCAACACCACATCTTAAGACATTGAATTTATAGATCCTTTCACTTATATAATTCTCACTTAGCCTATTTCTAACAAACGTGAGACTTCGCTACTCACTTGAATTCGCAACAACTTATGCAATGTATATGCAGCTTGAAAAATATAACACTTGCACCCCATTTATTTTTACATTCATGGAGGAGGATGACAATTACAAATACAAAGCGTTAGACTCATTTGGCAAGTAAGAACATTAATCATGAATAAAGAAATTAGGTTCAAAGTGATAGCCAAATTGGCTTTGTCACATCATCTAAATTTTGTGGACTTTGGAGACAAAAATGTTTCATACAAACATAGTTTTAAGGGGCTCGAGTTTCTTCTCTGTTAAGCTTAGAGTAGTTTATATGTATCTGGTTACACAAAATGCCACACATTCAAATGCTTGAATATCTAGTGTCTAAATCTGATATGGGGTTGTTAAAGTGAAATACTGCTAATTTAATTTGAATTGATGTGTAATCATTGATAGATAGCATTTCAATTCAAAATTTTAATAGGTTTAACTGGACTGATATTGATAGTGCGAAATCAAGTAACCAGCCCTTGAAAGCTGTCATTAATATTTTTTTATTCAAGGCTCAAGTTTTCTAATTTCTTCTCCATGACGTTTTCTAAACCTTCTAGAATCAGGCATTTTTTAATTTGTTTGGGAATTTGTCTAATTCTATATGTTAATTTCTTTGAATCCAAGTCTAATGTACCTATCTCATAAATGCTTTCCCATTTCCACTGTTAACCTCTTAATGCAATTATGTTCTTTTACAGTCTTTTCCTTTAGACTTGCACGTATTGACTTCTACTACACTTCTATTCTGAAACTTATTGCTTTCCAAATTCCACTGCCAATCACTTACTGCAATTATGTTCTCTTGCAGTATTTACCTTTAAACTTGCACATGTTGACTTCTACTACACTTCTATTCTGAAACTTTTAACTATGATCTTCTTATTTTTATCAAACATGTAGTGTGCATTTGAACCTGCACTGTTTACCCCATGTGAAACCAATTACAACAAAGTTCTTGTGGATACTTTTGTTAATGGTTGAAGTAAGAAAGATGCTTGTCACATGCTAATTATTACTATACATTCATGTTTCAGGCAATCATTCACTTAGTATATATTAATAGGAGAAAATTGGAAGAAGAATTCTAGCCAGATCACTTGCCATAGGACCTTGGCTTTAGTGACTACTGGGCCTGTTTGAAATCTACTTTGAAAAAGAGTTTTTTAATTTTCATAACAAAAAAAAAAGACTTGTTTGGAAATGCCTGTTTTGTAAAATCAATTTTAAAAATTGTAACTGTTTTTTATTTATTTTTAGAATCAAATTTAGAAAACATATTTGAATTGTTTTTGTTTTTTATTTTGACTTTTAACTTTCAAAACAAAAAAAAATATAAAAAACACTTATTTTATTAACTATTCTATAAAACAATTTTAAAAAAGAAAGAGAAAACAGAATACAATCAAACATACCCTATATTTGTGATTTTGTAACAAAATTTGCAATGTGATAAGAGAAAATAAATACTAGATAGGACCAGTATTGACCCTTCAAATAGAAAAGAGTTTTACAATGAAGTGTTTAAGATTATAGCAAAATTGCCACAGAGCCAGATGATAGATTTGTTAGAGAGATATAAACAATTATTTCATCTAAAAATTGAAGTTTATAAATAAAGATTCATCAATAATTTTATATTATATTTCTATTCACTTTCCGTTAAGTTTTAGATATTATTGAACCTCTAAGATTAGATGTTTGTACAGTAAGAGGTTTCATACCCTATTAGAGATTGAATTGACACTATTCAAGTTGTTAGGAGTATATAATAATAAAGGGATTTTAAGATAATCTTACAGGAATTTTTTCACCAGAAATAATGTGAGATGATTAATTGATTTGAATAGTTAATTGTGCCGTTTATTGTAAGTAATTAAATTGATTGGGTAAATGATTAATAAATTTATAGTTAACGATACACAAGAAGTGATTTTTTCAATCTAACAGTTTTCTAGGATTGGGCACTGTGACTAGAATAAATAGAAAGTTACAAGCGTCAGGTCACAGGTCCATATAGTTAGAATATATATATATATATGGGGGTTGTATTGTCCTTTTAGGAACATGTAAAAAAAAAAAAAAAAAAAAAACTAATATAATGCACTCATTTGACGTGTTATAATAATATATTTATATTTGGGAGTCGATCTCACCAACCCGTTCAATGAACTATCTAGTATTGCAGTTCGTGTTAGTAGGAAAACAGGGTTGTGCCTGCCAGCCATTATCAGAGATAAGCATGGGAAATGATAAAGGAACAAGCGGGTGTATCTAGAGTGGCA